AATTTCATATATAAATAAAAAAAATAAATAAATAAATAAAAGAAAAAAAAAGAAACCAATTTGACAATACATTTCATATATTAAATAAAAAAAAAAGGTTAACTCAAGTAAAGAGTCTTATGTGTCATATATACAAACATCAAAAGCCAACTAAAAACACAGAAAAAAATGTACACACTCTTACACAAAGGACAGGTACATACATAAATACATACACAAGACTAAAGTTGTATAGATAGTTGAGTAAATACAATTGGATATGATAGGTAAGTGAATTGGTAAAAACAACATATGTGAATTGGGCATATTAAGCAGAGTGCCACGATATACACATACCCTGTTTTATCACAATAGACATGCTCCTGAAAAGTTCAGTATACTTAAAATTACGGAAACTAATTAAAAGAAGGATAAAGCAAATCTTTCCTCAAAATAAACATCCACCACAAATTATAGTTGTTTCAGAAATCTAACTTTGAAAAGTTAGTTAATATAAAAATGTGATTGTATAAAATCATACAACCTGCAGCAAGCAATTGCTTCTATATTGCTTTTAAATTATCTCTCTATATGTAGACCTATATATGGAGATCAAACTGATCTCTATTATGATCTTTTACTCTACCTCCAAAGCTCTTTCCGTTATGCCATGCTACTTCTCCCAACATCAGCAGGAAGAGATATAATCCCCATTATCATTTCCCTTTCAACTCTTGTGTCTCCACCAACAAAAAAAAAAAGAAAAAAAGTAACAGAGATCCAAACACTCTGAAGAGCAAATAAATCTTTACAGACCACATACAAAAGAGGCAGTATAGTACAGTGATTGAGGGTAAAGGATTTGGAGTCAAGGTGTCTCAATTCACATTTCCAGCTCCCCAACTTAATACCTCTGTGATTTTTTGCAAGATACTTAACCTCTATGATCCATAGATTCTTGATCTGTAAAGTGGAGATAACAATGATATACACCTCATAGGTCTGTTGTGAAGATTAAATATGATAATGTACATTACCATATTAGTACAGTGCTTGGCACATAGTAAACACTCAAAAATGTAAGCTACGGTAACAGTGTCAATAAATTCTTCCTATGGAGCAGTTAATTCATAGCATACTTCACAGGAAAAACTGTTCCTGGTCACAAACCATAATACCACCCTTAATGAGTTGTTGCCACTGGTCACAAGAGAGATGGTCCATTTAAATTAGAGAAACCTATCCATCTACTGCACAAAAAACTCACTATCCATAAATCTAAGTGTGTATCCTACTGACAGTGAATAAATACAGGTATAATTACCTTTGCATAAAAATGTTATTTTCACCACTACAAATGACCATTGCAATCTAAACCTGCCTTTTTCTCTTACTACTAGGTAAGTAACATAAAAGTTACTCTATTCCACCTAATAAACACTCTACTTAAAAAAAATCTTCCACATACTTGTGATATCCCAATTTGGCATGACTTCAGGGATAAATCACTTAACTATGAAAAATGAAAGCAATTTAAGTTATCAATATGGTCTTCCTGATATAAAAGTCCCAATACTAGACTACTGCAGCCAATAATCAGTAAGCCCCAGTACCATCCAGTTTACTCTGGAGAAGGTCAACAATATCCCTGCACTAATATGGAGAGAAGATACAATTCAGATCTTTGAGATTAAAACATTTCATCTAACTAGGATATTGATGTGTGAAGCAGAAAAACCAAACCCCTGGCTTTATTACAGGCACAGTGTCCTAATGACAGAGAAATGGGATACAAAAATGATCTTTTAAAATTACATAGAAAGAAAAAGGAAAAAACTGCATGGTATCTTCTGTAACTACTTCATGAACACTCAACCATTAAAGAGTCCAAGAAAACAAGCTTGCTCCCAAGTTTTGTCAACCATAAAAAGAGATCTCACTTTTAATATAAATTGATTTAATACAAATTGATGTATAGTATTGTTATACATACCTGCACAACTGGTATCTGGTACACATTTACTAATAGCAATGTCACATAAAAAATTTGAAATATTTAATCAAACATCCACAAAATCTTTGCCCCTGGCCAAATGCCATAAGCAGTAAGCACCATGATGTTTTTAAAGGTAACTATTTTCAACAACACAATTGTAGTTTCATCTAAAGGTCTATAAGCACTATCGAGTGGCAAAACTTTACCCCATTGAGATGCTCTGCATCCAAAAAGCAATTTTAAGTCATCTAATTGTTTTGGAGGCAAAATCACAAACATAGTTACAAATACTTGATATTCATGGTTTTTCAGCAGATTTGCTATCATAATTATGCTGTGCTTAGAGTAATATGAAAGTTAGTTTTCATACCTTGAGTACACATTTTCTGGAGGATAAAAGAAGGACAATGTAATGTAAGGTATGCTGAGTGTATAGAGAAACCAGACAGCTAACTTAAAAGTGGACCCAGATAAGCCCTAACATAGCAGCTGCATATATAAAAAAGTGCCAAGTCACTCAACCACGTGAAGGCCTAAGCCATTCTCTCACATTAATGATCACTCAAATATAACTTTTAAATAATCTTTCACATACTTAATTCTTTAGAGGTTAAGTGAAATGAAGGATGATGGCTTCAGGCTGGAGAACACTTCTTTAACAAAGCCATTCATTCCTTCACATCTGCCTCTTCCCCAGAAAGAGAGTGGGTGGGACTACCCAGAGATCCTTCTAGGAGATATACTGGGGTTTTAATTCTCCATTCCTAAAAACTAAGTGGAACTTTTCGCTCTGTCATTTCACATGAGCATCCTCCTTCACTGTGCTTTAAACCAGAACACTTATTCCCGGGGGAAAAAGAGAATTCCTTTCCTTTTAAACAGGTGATGGGCAAATTCTCCATTTGTTTAGGTGCCTTAGTTTTTTTTTTTTTTTTTTTTTTT